AAAAAATTTAAATATTAAAAAAATTAGTAAAAATCTTCACAGGCAAATTTGCCTGTGTTACAATTTAAGGGATAATAAAATTTTGGCTGATGATAGACAAAACCTAAGTAAAGAGTTGTTAAAAATTCTAAATATGATATATTTTAATAAAGATTCTTATTTTTTTGAAGATAATAAAAAAAAACACTGAAGATAATATTGCATATGTAAATCAAAGTTTTTTGTATTATTCAAAATAAATAATACAAGTATCTATAATAGAGTATCACAGAAATTAAAGTGTTAATAAATTGTAAAATTCTTCATATTAAATATTAAATTAAGACTAGGAAGGTTGTGACTTGAGATATGGATCGGGTTACAGCAGCACCCCAAAAATTAGCTTGAGATACAAACTCAGTGATAGCAGCACATATATAGAAATTACCAAACAAGCAGATAAATATATGTGTGAGACATGCACCACTCTGTTGGGTTTATTACAAGGATAAATATCTTCTGTTGTTGGCTAAAGTCTTAAGATCTTTTATAGTAAATTACTGTTCCCAAAAAGGGTATATTAGGAGGAAACATGTGATGTCAGTTGAAACCAGAGAGTTTAAATAAATAGCTTCCTAGTTAGGCTATAAGTATAATATCTAGTATAGAACCTCTAATGCTTCAGACAAACTACTTAATTAGACAACCAAAAGTTGTATGTGTGACTAGCTGTACTCTCATGATACTGATGTAATATGTAAGCCAGTCTTTAGACAATGGCCCACCCGTTTGAACTAATAAAGTGCCAGGGACCTAAGTAGTTACCTCAATATTAAAAAATATATATATATATTGAATTGAGACAAGTTTCAACACTTCAAAAATTTAAATTTGCAAGTTGAGTGCATTATTTAAAAAATTGTAAGGTAAGCGCAGGATTTAAAAATCATAAGTTGATCTAAAAAATCGCAGTACTGTATTTAAAAAGTCATTTACCCTAGGTGCCGCACAAAAAATGCGCGGCAGATCCTCGATTTTGATTGGCTAACGGCCGAAGATCTTCGAAATTTTGGTCCGCATTACAAAATCGTTTACTAAATTCCGGCCGGAGTTAACTTTTTAATTTTTCATTACAAAAATAGAAATTTTTAAAAAATAAGCACGCATTATGGTAAAATTGACCCAGAAACAATTTTCGCTTAATAGGCGGCTGCGATTTCATTACTTAATTTTTTTGGCCAATCAAAATGGAGGATCTGCCGCGCATTTTTTGTGCGGCACCTAGGTTCAATTAAAAAATCGCAAGTTGGGCGCAGTACTTTAAAAATCGCAAGTTGAGCGCAGTATTGAAAAAATTGAAGGTATTTTTTTTGAGATAAAATTGCATTTTTTTTCATCAGTAAATCGAATATTTTACATATACCGCCCGTGTCCCTGGATCCTCCTGTCAATAGTTACACAGATCTACGCAATATATTACTGTATTATGCAGATCAATCTTATCACGAAATATCTTCAAAATGTCTTTGACACGAATAAATTTATTTAATCAAACAAAACAAAAATTTCGATTTACAACTAAATTATTGTTTAATGTTAGACATTTAGCTACAGTTACTCCAGATCATAATATAGAAAAACGAGATGTATTTGATAACTCATTTATGATTGATAAAAATCTTTATGATATTGTTATAGTTGGAGGAGGAATCACCGGAAGTGCTTTAGCATGCGCTTTAGGTATAATTGTTTTTCACGCCAATTTTGTTTTATAAAAATTTTAATCAAAGAGAATATGTAGTTAAAAATTTTAATTTGGTGTAAAATAGCGAATTCCTGGAAAACAAAGTCACGACGTATTGCTCTGATTGAATTTAGTAACATGTCAAATATAAGAGAATGGAAACCCCTTCATTCACAATTTTCGAATCGTGTAAGTTCATTGACGCCACAATCAGTTCAATTCTTCAAAGGTATTTTTATTTACAAGTTGTTAATATATATGTTGTGCATTAAATTGGAATGGTTTAAAACTGTGTTGCATCCAAAATCTATTAGTTAAGAGATACGCTAATGTTTTGCTATATTTGATTTTGGTCACTCGATTTATAATTTATCAAACAATTCATAAAATAACAAGGCTTTGGCGCATCTCTTTTTTAGATACTTTTTAATTTCATAAATAAGACAATTTCGGCACAATTCAAATAATCGTTCTAATCATCTGATACACATCCCATGACAGATTTTTTTGTATTATAATAATTAAAATCAATTATAATCAATTACACTTGCACATTATACACCGACATTCAATTTTCGTGCCCTTTCTCAGTTTTTGCCTTGAAAATGACCTTATGAGACATAGTAATTACTATATCTCATAAGGTCATTTTCAAGGTTAAAATCCCATATATTTTACCACTGAAACATGTTTCAATTTCGAATATTTTACGTTGAATGGTTTTAATTACGTCATTGTATACAAAACTACATTTTTAGCTCAGTAACAAAAAAAATATAGAAAGTATATATCTTAATTATTTATGGGATAAATAATGTTACCATTTTGTAGTTTATCTTAATCGATTAATTCCTTATCTTATTTAGGTTTTTAATGTTTCACAAGGTCGTCAAAAGACCGTGAAATAAACGAATACCTCCATAATTATTAATTGTTTTTGTTATTGAAAAAAAAAAGCCAAAGAATAGTTAGTCAAAAGAAACTATTTCAATCTGACGCGACTTAAACTTTAAATTTATACCTACATCGAATTCTGACTCACGCATATACATCAATTTCAGATATTGGTGTGTGGGAAAATATTAATCATGAACGTATTAAACCATTCAAAGATATGCAAGTATGGGATGGCATTAGTAACGCTCGCATAAGGTTTAATAGTGATGAAAGCATCCCTATTAATAAAAGTGCAGAAGCCCTCGCTTGGATCATAGAAAATCATAATATTCAACATGCTATTCTTACCAAACTTGCACAATATAAAGATAATAACTTTGACTTTCTCGAAAACACAACAGTAAAGAGAATTATGTTTGATGATAATTATGAAAATGAACATTTTGACTTATCTGATTGGCCAAGTCTTGAATTAAATAATGGAAAAATTTTGAAAACTAGATTATTGGTATATATATATATATATATTTATTTTTTTTTTTTATCATTTATTCGATTTTGTTAAATGTTTTTTTTTCTTCTAATGATTACTAATAATTGAAGATTGGTGCAGATGGAATCAATTCTGTTGTACGCTCGTTTGCTAACATTGAATCACTTGGTTGGGATTATAATGCACGTGCAGTAGTGGCTACTCTACAGGTGGACTCACTGATGGAAAATGGGACAGCATGGCAAAGATTTTTGCCAACAGGCCCTATTGCAATGTTGCCGGTATGAACCACAATAACATTAAATGTTGCAGCTGAAGTTGGAAATCGGGGTCTCTATTTAAAAATACTAATCCTATTAAAATTCACTTAACCCTTTATTATAAACTCTAAATTCTCTACATTCTGATTTGACTGTAAAAATTTCATACCAAAACAAGTCCAATTTTTACCTTATCTGTTTCCAACTTCAGTAGCAACAATTATGAATTGATTATAATAAGGCGGTAAATAATAATTATTTATAAAAAAGATCAAAAATGGAATTTCATCAATGGTGTGGTCTACGACTCCCTATCTTGCTTCAAAGATATGTAAACTTCCATCAAATAGGTTCATACATTTAGTGAATTCAGCATTTCACCTTCGAATTGCTGATTTAGAATATTTATATTCTCAATTGGAAAATAATGAAATTGATTTTGCAAAAGAATTTGAGTGGCGTCAATCTATTGAAAAAAAATCAAACACAGGAAATAATTCTATAGAAACGTTTCCACCATTAATATTGGATGTACAAGAAAAAAGTCGTGCGGAATTTCCATTAAAGATGAGAAATGCAGAAAGTTATGTAAAAGAAAGGATTGCTCTTATTGGGTAGGCTGTTATAATCCCGAATAATTTTTTTTTTTAAATGTTTTTATGTTTTATTCCTAAAATATGTAAAAATAGCGATGCTGCACATACAATACATCCACTTGCTGGACAAGGGCTAAATCAAGGATTGGCTGATGTACAAAGCTTAGTCAAAGTCATTGAACATGGAGTTGTTACAGGACAAGATTTAGGTAATTTTAAATTAATTTATATTATAATAAGTACAGTTTTAAAAAATAATTAAAATATGTAAAAATAATTTACTAAAAAAATTGTTTTTTTTTAAAAAAACAAAGGAAATATACAATTGCTTAAAAATTATTCTTCTGATAGATATTTATCAAATCTCATAATGTTGGGAGTAGTTGATAAATTGCATAAATTGTTTGGAAATGATTTCGCACCTATTGTTCTTATGAGATCATTGGGGTTGCAAGTAATTAATAATTTAGAGCCTGTGAAGGTTTGTAATGATGAGCTTTTATAAAGGTATTATTTATTCATTACTAATTATTTGCTTTTGACAATTTTTTTTTAGTCCGAAATAATCAAATACGCGATGGGAATTGAATAAAAAATTGTAAGTTATTTATCGTATTCTATTAATAGTATTGTATATTATTAAGTAATTTTAACATATTGAAAATTTAAGTTGCTTTTAATCTCTTTAACTGTTTTTTGGGCAAATTTTCTAGAATTTTAAAAGTATTAACAATTTTTTAAATAAAAATAAATTTTAAAAAAATATTAATAATATGAAGTATATTATATATAGTAGTATATTTAAAAGAAAATAGCTATATTTAACTAGAGAAAAATTCTCTTTTATTATTTTTAGAGTTAGAATACAAATTTAGAATAAAAAATAAGTTTTATATAATATAATATAAATTACCAATTTTAATTTATATTCTCAAATAAATATAAAATTTATTTTATTGTTTTTAAAAAAAAATAATATTCTCAATAGAGAACAATTTTTTTATAATTATACAGTATTTTTAATTTTAAAAATTGTTCTTGAATATAAAATAAATTTATAATTTAATCTATATACACAGTTGTAAAAATTATATACTAAATTTATTTAAATCTTGTATATCTTTATTGTAAAGCTAAGCCTTATTTTTAAATTTTCTTCTAACTCTACTATTTACAATTCTGATCGATTTAATAACCAAAGTGCTGATTATTTATCACATAGTGTAGAAGCATTATTGACAAAACAATTCTATATTTATGTTTTGCTTCATCTATTTAAAAATAAAAAGTATAAACAATATTAATCTTTTAATAAGAGTAAACCATTTTTGTTAAAATTTTGTAAAAGTAGCAAGAAGGCAAAGCTGAGAGAGAAAAAATCACTTGTTCAAGTTTAAAAAAATATGGCTTAATTTCTTTTTATAAAATATATATGTAGCTTGTATCTACCTAAAGTGATGTGAGTACTTAAACAATACTAGGTGAGTAATAAACTTTAAACTTGTTAGCAAATAACATATAAGAATTATTTCTAAATAACAAGTGCTATTCTGTACTGCAGTGAATAATAAACTCTAAACCTGTTAGCAGATAGTATATAAAAACTATCTCTAAATAACAGATACTAACTTATGGTTCTCTATCTTATTTTTTTGTTTTTACTAAATTTGTTATATTTTTATTAAGAAATTCATTTAGGAATTTTAGTATAAGCAATTATTGAAAAGAGCAAAGTAAAAAATTAAATTTATTTTATATACTAGAGGTCCAGTTCAGATAAATCTGTCATCCATTTATCTATATCTGAATTTATTCAGATACCTATTTACTGTTGGTATTTGAATAATCTGACAAATATCCAGATAATTATCTGAATATCAATAGTAAAATAAATATCCAAATAAATTTAGATCCAGATATCCAATAGATAAATGAATAAATGGATAATAGATAGGAACTCTATTATAATGTTTTGGGCGAAACCTAAATATTTCGCCAAATCCAAATCCGAAATAGGGTCAATATTGATTTCGCCGATTATACAAATTTTCGAAATTTCCGATACTTCCGAAAATGTATAATAAAATCTGTAATTGCCTATAGTTTAGGCTCAATCCGATATTGTGTACATATTTAGTAATAAAAAAATCTTTGATTCTCTATTCTTTTTTTTAAAGGTATTAGAACCTGATTGATTACATATTCTTGCATCATTTGTTTTTTTTTTTTTTTTTGCTATTATGTGAACAAAATAAATTAATACTGGTTTATTACTTTTATTCAGTTTATGCAAAAAAAACGTTTTTGTAGCTAGCAGAAGTAATAATAAACGTGTCTTTCCAATAGAAGCTTCCAACACATGAAATTGTACAAGATTTCAATCTACAGAAAACTTGAAATTTTCTTAGTTATTGCTCA